CTCACATGTGATTTTATGTGAGGATACTTACGATTAGAGAACAATTCGCTCTTTTTGATTCGATAAAAACCACCATCATGATATAAAGATTCTTATTTAAATATACACCACTGCTCAAAAGTTTTAGTCGGTTTTAGTTTCCCTCTTCATTTATAAAAATTTAATATAAAGCATAAAATATAAACACAGTTGGTGGTGTATGCACTGTTTTGTAATTTATTATTACATATTTTTATTAAATTATAGATAAGAGAACCAGTTTTTCTCCAATTTTTTACTTATATGTATACAAATAATATATACGTATATACAATACATACATATATATTTTTTTTCAACCTTAATCTCTTTGAATTTTGATAACAGATTAAACAGAAGCCAAATTCTTGGCATTCTATGGATAAGTTCTTCAAGTGTCTTAATCAAAGATTTGTATCTAATCTGGCGCTTAATTTCTGCGAGAATATAAATATAGAGTTTTCATTCTCTTATAAGTTAACATAATATTCAAATATTTATCAATGTTTAGTGCACATTTTGAAACTAATATATCAACCGATAACACCGAAATACATATTTGTCTCTATATTTGAGAAAATTTGTAATTTCTATTTATAATTTTTCGACAATTGGCGACTAGATCGAACATCATGAACATCAAAAACAAGAGAGAAAACAGGATTATTTCTCATAATCGATATTTTACTCCACATCTTATGAATAAAAGAATAGAATTGCTAGCAAAAATACAAGACATGCTGAAACTTTTAAGCAATAGTGTAATCTTCCAACTTTCAATATAAACTATAAATTATAATTCAATATAAAATTTCTAATCCAATTATATAAGTACGCCGCTTTATAAGTATTAAAATTATTACTTAAATTAAAGATCCGTTTTCAAAAAGCTTTCAAGCCGCAAACTCAAAATGGCCTTCTGAGCATTCACGTGGGAGAGGGGAAGGGAAAATCGTCGAGCTGGCAATAATTAAAAGTGGAATAGGTGGATCGTCAAGCACAAACTCTAAGCAGAAAGGCGAATGGAGAGACGGCTGATGGCGTATAGCCGGGCATCGAACCGTGACCCGAGCACCTGTTGCCGCCTCCACGGTCGTGGCTCAATGTGAACTGACCTAACTTGTCCCTACCTCAAGCCGGGAGATAGAGCTATTCGACCAACCTAACCAGACAAAAACAATGCTGCTGTCAATAGCTTGAAGAATTAATCCATGAAAGCCTAGCAAATCTAGCTGAATAGTAACGTTGGATGATGATGGCGACCTACAGTTTAGATATTTGAAAAGTATACGAGACTCTTTATATAGAATTTTCCAACAAAATTTATTACATTTTATAAAATCGAGACGATTTGGAAATACAGCAAATATTTCAGGTAATACTCGAAGCTTTATCTCTCTCCATCGATAATTTGATAAAATTCCTTAATTAAATTGATAAATTACTCTCGTTGAAGGTAGGATACGAAAGATGTCACAAAGTACGAAAACGATGATTATTGTTACTGGAATTTCTCTCTCTCAATATTTATATATTTTAGTAAAAAAAAAAAATGGTCTTCATTAGTTCAAGATGTAAAAAAAAGCCAAGTTCTCAATGAAAAATTTTTGTCTTCGAACTGAGACAGCATTCGAGCAAGAAGATAATATATGGCGCTATGACTAGACACATTGTGATTAAATTATGTAACAACGGACAGGTAGTTCCTGCATCGCATCATCGTCGTACAAATAGACGACCACGGAACGTGCTACTGCGAAACGCTGACTAGCTTATGACTAATAGCGCATAACAAACTTAAATTGCCACGGGCCATTAATACTTAACGAATAGATGCGTATGTGATACATAGGATCTTAATACATCTTACACTAACTTACGTTGGCTATACGTGTGCCTCGCAAATTGAATTGTATATACAATCATAGTAAGAAATCTAATCGTATCTAGTCGGAAGAGAATCTATCGCGTGTAAAGAAGTATTCTTTCTACTATGTAAATTCGTCCTCATTTATACTTTACCGCTATTTGTTCTCCACGTAAAAATCTATTTTTGCATATTCGGGCTCCTCGAATAATGAAGGCTTATTGACACCCACGCAACATCAAGCACGTCCAAGATAACTATTAAACAAAAGTTGCGGTGCGAAACATCGAAGAAAAGAAAAGACGTCTCTGTGAAAAAAAATTATCGCGGCAAGACGATCTTTGACATGTAACTCGATATTTACAAACTGCTCTCAGATTTCTCGTTGACACCCCTTGTTAAAGGCCGGATATGAACGATATCGCGAAGTTACGATGGTCAATGTAGTAGGATTTTACGATATTTTATATTTTATGATAAAAATTTCGTTATACGATCCTTAACCCTTTGTGAACCGTATAACCATTTGGAATTATCCAATTATTTTATAAACTGCTCGCTCAATTTTTATGAAACTTAGCTCAGGAGTAATTTAATAATAATTTACTTGAATCTAAGGTCAAAAATAAAAAATTCAAAATAATAGATTCAACATGGCGGATAGAATTTAAAAAAAAATTTTTGCATTGTAAGAAAATTAAAAAACAACGTCCTCGTTAAGAATTACAGATAAAAAGAAACGAAAGCATTTGCACCTTACATAATTTCTATTACTTTATTGTAAAGAGATGTAACAAATTTTATGTACTCTTGGCAGAGTTTTTGTTTGTCTGGCTAAAGATCGTTAGTCTCGCGAATGAGGACATGACAGTATTAGACTAGACAGTACAAGACTATACGGTATCAAATTAATTTCGAAAGTCTGAAGGTAACGCCTAGAATTTTTATGCACCGGCCGACTACTGTAGTTTTTTGTCAGAATAGCCAGTTATTAAGACACGCTTCAGTTACTGTCCATTATTTTTGACGTGACCTTATCTTCGAGATGAACAGAGTCATCAGAAAACTAATCATACAATTGAATTCAGTACATGGAGTGCTCGTATGTAACGAGGGTCACTGTTGATCAACGTAATCTCCATCAATCAGAAACAATGCGACAGAACTAACAATGGCCGTTGAAAAATAGTCGTATAAATATGACTTTCATATTATTGTAATATAATTTTGTAATTATATTAGCATTAATATAATATCAATTATTAATCATATTATTACGTGTATAAAATCTCGCTCATTTGCTAAAATACAATTAAAAGAACAAGATTTTCCGGAAAATCAATTTCAATATTTTAAATCATTAAAATGTAATATTAATTTTTAAATACAATTTTGATGTAATAAATTGATATGGAGAAATAAAAGTATTCCTTTAAAATATATTTTTTCTTTTTTTCTTTATGTTTCCATTCTTTTGCTACAACTCAAAAATGAGCAACGTAAAATGAGCAATGATAAAAATCTAGATACGGTAAATACCATTCGAATAATCAGCTTCTGTGTCAAAAAGGAGAGCACGTTTATCTAGTTAAGTTTTTTATCTGTTTTCGTCTCTCATTCTTTCTCAAACGATAAATGACTGACGAAGACGAATGATAAGACGTTAGCTGACAACGACCACAAGAAACGTTGCCCATGCACGAGAAGATTGCAAAGTTCGTGGGAGTGGAATTTGCATGCAAACGATACGACCAGTGATCGGGCGACGTCTCGGTATTAGATTACATTAAAGTACAGACTGAATTTAAAATAAACGCTAATTAAATTATCTCTAGTAACAAAACATGAGTTTTAAAAGGATGCACACGATGAATCATCAATTAAAAATAGAAACGAATAGTAATAAAATTGTACAATATCACAATATTTTAAATAATTTGTTTAGAATTCGTTTCAAAGCTTGATGATTCAGGGATCAATGGTTACATCCAACAGAGAAAGCAGCTTTGCAATTATCGTAAAATTTGTAAATATAAATTAGTCATGCTCGTAGCTGAATCTAAAGATATAAATCAATCATATTAAAGAATTTTACAATAGTTGCAAAGCTACTTTCTCTACTGAAAGCAGCCAATTATTTCCATAATTCTCACTCTCCGTTCACATTTACGAACCGCAATAATATCAACAATTGAACATCTTGTCGGGCCGGATAAGCGTGGATTCCACACCGATCGAGCCGAACACATTCGCGGATGTTTACAATGTACTGAATCAAAATTGTCGGTTCGCTCGTTTTGTCCGGGAGCGAGAAACAAGTCTGAACAACGCTTTACACTGTACTACACCGAGAAGAGCTGAGTGCGATCGTGTGTGCACTTGCTAATGCGACGCTATATTTATCGGTGAAAAGTAAATAACCACCGGCTGAAATAGCCGCGTGTCAACGTTGTTAACATTGTGACCCTGCGAAAGCAGCGAGCGAGAACGCGCGAGCCCCATCGGGCAGCATCTCTAAAATCTTGCAAATTCACTATGCATTTGCGCCACATGAATGCGCGAATGCGAAGCTGGTAGAGAGGCGAGTCGAATAGCAAGTTACTCGACAAGTTACGGCAAGGTACTCGTCTTACACGTTATACATGGTTAATTTTTCGAAAGTACAGCTGAAGCTAAAATATACATTAAAAAATACATGATTTTGATTGATTTTTTAGTATAAAAATTCATAGCTCTCTTTTATTTCTATAAAGAATTGTAGAACTATGAAAAAAGAGAGAATGCTACCGGAATTATCAGTTTTTTATTTTTTATATTAATAGAATGTCGTGCTAGCTTCACAGACCCACATTTGGATTGTGAAATTTAACACATTCTATCAATATAAAATAGTGACAGTTTCTTAATAAAAAAGTTTCGTATTTTTTATATTAAAAAATCGAAATTGAAAATATGGCTAACTTCGCGAAACTAGAACGACACTTCCCTTCCAGGAAATACACGCCGTGGAGAGTACTTGGGTAAGTATAACCCGGAATATCCCCACGAGTCATCCACGTAGGCATGCAATTAAGGTACAAGCGTCGGTCGATGTACGACATTTTGCGGTACTCACCAGCGATTCGCAAGACCGCCCGATCGGCAGGATCGAGCTGCAGGATGCTCAGGGGCTTGTCCTTCGCCCATTCCTTGAGGCTGCCATCCAGCTCGAACTCCATGATCTTCGCAGCCCAAGCCGTCCGATTGCTTCTCTTACACCATGCTCGGGTGCCGCGCCGCATGCGTCTCTCCAGTGTATCGTACGGCGCGTTGTACGATGGCAATGTCCTTACGCGCCGTTACCACCACAGTACTGCGTCAACAATAACTCGCGGCAGCCGTTTCTCGACATTGTTTACATCACTGCCACGACGCGACACCGAGACACCGCCACCTGGGAACACGTGCGTTCCGACGCACGTGCGTCCACTGCGAAAAACAAAAGCATAACACTCGCACTGTTATCCCCCTCCTGCCCTTCACTCTTTCTCTCGTCTTTGCGCTCGCGGATCACGTTTGTTTCATCCGGCGTCGCGTCGTGTTTGTCACTGCCGTGAGATATGAGAGACAGAAGGTCTATTCCCGTTGCTTGCGCGCTTTTGACATTCAGAATCCTCAGAATCTTCGCTTTCCCTCGACTCTTTAGTGCCCGAATATATGTATGTATGTATCTACTAATGTATCTAAGTTTTGGCCAAAAATATTGGACGCCTATGTTTTTTTTTTCATTTATCTGGAATTCTTTTACCTGCATTGTTATCTACTGGTTATCGGTATTATAGGTTTAAAGCAGAGATTCCCAAGATACTTTTTTAATATTTCTTGGAGTAGAATCTCACTCCAAAAGAATTAAAATACTGCCACTATTGAAGAAGAGTGAAAAATGTATACTCTTAAATGTATACTCTTAAATGCAGTTTTTTTTTTCCAGAGATTCATACTTTTGGAATGATATTCATTCCCAAAAAAAGTGTGAGATTACATTCCTTTGGAGTGACTCTCACTTCAAAGAGAGTGTAACACTCTGACCACTCCTATTCAAGAGTGCAAATTTTTCACTCTTTTTCGGCAGTATCTTATTAACTCCTTTCGAATAAGATTTCACTCTAAGAAACGAGGGAGTAACCACTAGCTGAAATGTTGTCCCGAAGATTACATGATTTCATATGATTTTATCTGATTACAAATAATTTTTTTCACCATATATGAAGTAATTTGTTAAAATATATGATTTTATTTAATTAATTTAAACATTATTACATTAAGTGGTTGCCTCCTCGCTAAGAAATTTCGAGAGCATGGGAGTTTTTCGGGATTTCGAACACAAAATCGCGATGACACGCTTCTGCCATGAAATGCGGTTACGGAATGATATTACTTCACTGCTGCTTTCACCGTTTATTAGATCGCACGAGACTGATTCGCGAGGGGGAGGGGGATGGGGAGTGGTCGTCGGGGGGGAATCCACGAGGGTTGCGAGGTCACGAATTGTCCATCACGCGAAAACGACACATACTCTCATTGAGTCCGCTGTATACGGGGGCGTCTGAAGCACCGCACGGTTTCCGAGAACTCTACCTAGGGGACGAATTGAAAATAATACTGGCTATCTTGAGATCGCGGCACGCTGACGGCCTTGACGAACGAACAGCGAACCGTGTAGACGAGTAAAATAATTTCTACTATTATGCTAGAAGAGAGAGCACTAATTTGCAAACCTTTTAAATGAATTTGACTCTAACATTTTTTTGTAGCCCGCGACAATTGGCTCTTTCCACCTGATTACGTCGTCGCGTATGTCAGAGACGTAGATAGCAAATTTATTTCCATTATTTTTCCATGTATCGTACATTGAGAGAAAAATGAATGTGTGTGACAGTAATTGTATGATAAAATATATAACTGACATTGAAAATGATTACAAATTATAGTTGAATTATCATAAAATACATGATAAAACAATTATGATTAAGGACTACATTTTTATAGTTATTCCTGTTATACTAGTAATAAAATAATTATGATTAAGAGCTCTATTTTTGTAAATATTACCGCTATAATGTTAGTAGTAATAATTACATTTATAATTGTGCGCTAAAAAAATATATAATCGGCATTGAAAAAAACTATAAATTATAATTAAATTATGATAAAATACGTGATAAACTTACATGATTTTGAGCTCCATTTTTCTAATTTTTCCTGTTATGTTAGTAATAATAATTATATTTACGGTTCTACGAAAAGTATGTAGTTGGCATTATAACAAATGATAATACATTGCAGTTAAATCATGATAATTGTAAGCAATTTTTTCTCTCAATGTACACATGACATTTCTCTGTATAAACCGCTATGAAAACACCAGCTATCCGTTTGTCGTCAGCTTATTCGTACATTGACCCTCCCCGAGAGCTTTACAAATGTGACCAAACCTATCGACTTCTGTTCATGTATCATCAAACATCGAGCTTCCGGGGAATTCGCTGCACACACGGGTACCGTTAGATTACTAAAACAATCGGAAACAAGAACTTGTATTGGACACGCGATTAACATGCGATGGAACAAAAGCCGCCACGAGTTAAAATTGTACCAACGCATTAACAAGGCCGCTATTAAAGGCGCACTCGTCCACGAGAAAATCGTAATGAATGGAAGAGAAGTGCAGCGTGCACGATGTAACAGTAATTAAGAAGCGGAACACTAACAGCAGCGAAACTCTCCTCTCTTGTTCCTTCTCTTTCTCTTCACAACGCTTTCGACCACGCGGCGCGGATATCCGTTCCACTTACGAGCTTCGAGCGACTTCAATTCGCACGAAATGATGCCGGTTCGAATGTAAATTGAGCGTGCGATTCACAACGAGACGCGTAACGAGGTACACCAAGTGTCGCATGGTAGATATTTTCACGCGAGACTATGAATGCTTTCCGGCAAGAGAGACAGATGAGACAGGCTGCTTTTTTTAGGAGACACGAGATGCTTTCCATTTGGCCGACACTATCGTTCTATCTTACTCATGGAATGCCAAGAAAGATAGAACGACGTTTGTACTACGATGTTATGCTACGTCACTAATGCGCATTTCTACCAATGTAGATTAACTTCGACCTTGGATTAACTTTGCTGCTTTTTAGCTTTTTCGAGTACTAAGAATTTAAAAAAGATAAAAAAAATAAGTTTAACCACATGTCATTAAAGTTAATTGACATTGGTAGAAATGGACGCAAATATTGTTGTATTCTTATTGGCTTTCAATGAATAATAAAAATAAAACGATACTTGTGTCGACTGTTGCCCGTTTCTACCAATGCAGTTTATTTTAATCTCGATTCAACTAACTCTTCATCTTTTTCTAGTTTTAAGAATAAGAAAAAGATGAAGAGTAAGTTGAATCAAGATTGAAGTTAATCTACATTGGTAGAAACGGACGTAAGTCTTCTAAAAGGAAAGCTGCAGCCATAGGCTCGGTTTTCCATTTTGTGATTAACTTGTGATTGGACTTGATGATAACGTAAAAATTATATTTTTCTAGCTATGATTAATCACTAAATTGATGACTTTATAGTGAGCAACTTTTGAAGTTATCACTACAAAACCATTAGTTTAATGATTAATTATAGCTAGACAATAACAATTCTCGCATTATCATCAAGTTAAGTGAGATTAGATCTAAATCACAAATTAACCAGAAAAAAAAACCAGATCATAATAACACAATGGTATCCAGTTTTTCGTTTTTTGATTAACTCGTAGTTTAGACTTAACCTCACTTAATCTAATAGCAACATGTAGCTTTCAAAGTTATCAATAACAAAATTATCAATTTAGTTTAAGTAGATTAATCATAATTAGAAAAAAATAATAAAATTTTTACATTATCATTAAACTAACAATAAGTCTAATCATAAGTTAACAAAAAAATGAAAAAGCCTCAATTCTTTATTTAACGTTGACAAATTATAATACAAGAATGCAACGATTTACCGTGTTATATCGTGTCATTTATCTTTTGTTGGAGAATACCCTGTATTTTTCCTCTATTCAGCGCATTACGAGCGCGATCCAGTTAAAAAGAAATCGACTCACGGCGCATTTGGATAAAGCGTGACATAAATTGACGAGATAGATCGTACAGGAAGATTCGCATTTCCTTCGCCGTGCAATTAATGCTCCGCTCCTTCCGGTTGAAAACTCAACGAAAAGGCTGCCGCGAATCGCAACGCGCGACGGTTTATAATAGCGTAAACTTTACTTAGAGTTCCGACGCGCCGGGATTCTTTACGACCGAGCCATTAAAGAAGTCTCAAGGGTGCTACACATTATAACCGGTCGCCAACGAAACCTCACATCTGTCGCGTGACTGTCGCTTTGTCGAAAACAGCACCAACGGCGATACGCGCGAGATAAAAGATGGGCGAAAAGATAGGCGTCTCGTATTCTTGTAGGACGTTATTAGAGGCTTCTTTCTCTCTTTTAGAGTTAAATTCTAGCAGTCATATTCTCATCGCGTATCGTCTAACCGGCGAGCGCGGCTTTCATCTCCAACGTCGAACGCGATCCGCATACCAAGTAAACAGGATTGTTTTGCCTTAAATGCGATGAGGCCAAGGAAATGATATATCCGTCTACTTGTAATTCCCGATCACATTCAGTACGAGAAAAACCGGCATTTTTACATCTCGCTTCGAAACAGAATATCACAAACGGAAAGACTTTCTACAATAAGTCACAAGAAATCGACCAATCATAGTCGAATGAAGTGAGAAGAATAATCGATTATGATTGGTCGATCTCTTTTTGTAGAAAACCTATAAATCGTATCTTAGAGATAACACGCATCTGTCATAACGTAACTGTAGTCTTTTCTCGGGAAAGCAAATATAGGAGTTTAAATACATTATTAAACACGTCGCTCATCGATCGGCCGACGAGCGCCACTCGTTCTCTTTCGAGCGCTTCGCCGATTTTTTTGTTTCAAAAAGTCCTATTTGCCTCGATTGTTATATAGGTCGAGGGTTGTGAGGCAGCGATAAATTTCGACGGAAGGTCGAAAAGTGAAAACCGGTATTGATCCGAAACTTTTAAGAGGCTCCGCCTGTGGTATTTCGTAAACGACGCGATATATATGCGCAATCAGCCGAATTAATTAATGAGAAATCCGAGACGGTTCCAACGGGGCCGAATTATCGACATCCTGCCACTATTTTCGATCTCCTTTCGCCCGTTTATCTACGCGCTATCACGTTACACTTCCCATACAATCCAAGGTCCGTAGATTGCGTAAATTGAATATCACACGGCGTACCTGGCGCTTAGTCACGGTAGCCTATGTTTCAAATTGCTTTGCAAAGCCTGAGACACGATTGAAAAACATAGGCAATAAGAACGGGAAATAACAGATTTCAGTCTATTAGAAACCGTGTATTCTAGGGCTGCAATCCGATTTACGCTAACAATGCTTAAGAATCGTTTCATTCTTGTTGCTCATCAGAGTTCTTGTTGAATGAGGACGATGATGTTCACGAATGTTGTGAACACAAATCGGAACGCAGCCTAGAATACACAGTTTTTTGTGATAGGTTTATATCTGTTATTCCTTGCTCCTAATTGCACTGTTGAATCTGTCGAATTTAATCTAATTTAAGTCGCTACTGTTCCTACTCAATACAACAATGGATAAATTTGACACTATAAAAAATATATTTGACATTATGTTTATTAATTAAAATTTATTTATTTTAGTAAGTAAAAAATAACGTTATGTTGAGTAAGAGCAATGGTGACTTAGGTTTACATTTGACACTTTAAATTTAACAATGTGCCCTGTACTTTTCAATTGTGTTTCAAAGCTCATTCTACAATTTCGTAGTTGTAAGAATTGAATTGATTGAATCACAATCGAATACAAGGAGAATATTCGACTGATTAATTTTTACAATTACAATCACACAATTAAGTTTCGGGCTTTACTGTTATTAGATTCTTTAATATAATTGATTATTATTCTCTTAATTTCTCGCACTGGATTAAAATCACACACATCTATAAATCAATAATTATAACTATAAACCAATGAAATTACAAAATTTTACAATTGCAAAACTATTCTTTATCCTTTTAAATAAAGCCTAATTCTACAATTGTGTAAGTGTAAGTAGTTGTAATTGCAAGAATTAACTAATCACAATCGAATATTCTCCTCATATTCTCCTCATTGTAAATTCCTACAATTATAGTCACAATTACGTTTACGATTATTATAGAATAGGCATTACACGCAACCTTTTCTAAAGCACGAAAACAACAGAAACGCACGCGGGTATACATTTTCTCGCAACGTTTGCGGCGCTCTCGCAATCTCGCGAAATAAAGCAGGATTAGTCATATTCCTTTTTATCAATGTTCTAAATCTTTCCCCCTCCATTTCGCTTGTATTAAATTGTATGTGCAACCTGCCAATAAGCGCCAACAGTAAGTATAATATTAATGTTATAATTTCACACGTAACAATGTAAATGTGACACACATATTAGAACAGTTAAATTGTTGAGTGAAATCATGTTTTTTATTCCTGCACTAAAATTTTTTTTCTTATTTTCATCAAATATATATTTCACCTATTTCACTTTAAATTTCAAAAGAGTACACTAATACAGTTATAAGAAAAAATCCTTGTAACCAGAAATGTGTTTATGCGTCAAATATGATAATAATCTACGTTTATGTGTGTATATAACATAAACTATTGTTTCATGTATTATTTTGAAACAATCATAAAAGCCTATATTCTTTATCGTTGCACTAGACTTCATAAATCTAAGTTATATATTTTTATTTATCAATACTAAAATCAGATATATTAATAACCATAAGATTTAATTATCTCTTTTCATATTGCGTTATTCAATTTATTTTATAATTTATATATCTTGTATTATTTGTACTGTCTACACTACATGAAAGTGTCATGTAAGCTTAATGAAAACAATACGTAAATATTTTATGTAAACATAATCTTGGAATATACACAGAACAATACTGATACAGTGTGATTACTACTTTCTCTCTATTGTTATCCAATTTATATAACAATTAACATATTTTATATTGCTTGTATTGTCTACATGAACAAAATTTGCATAATTCATATGTGAAAATTCCATGATCTTGAAATATATGACACACAATTCTGCTTATAACAGATGTTATGTTATTGTCAGTTGATATTTCTGATAGGCTGATACAATTAAACCTAAGAGAATAAAGGCGAAAAATGAGAATAAATACCGATCGAAACATAAATCTTCCGAAAATGAGTGTACTCATCGATTTTTAGAGAAACTTCTTATCGCACACTCACATTTTCTTTCCACTCACTTTCGCACTTTCGCAAAGATAATCGCGATTACGCGCGTGCACTATCGCGTTATCAAACGCGCGCAACGTGCGGCATCGCTCAACGACACGGATTTTCGCACGGTGACGATCGAGATGAGTGGAATAAACGGAATCGCGAGCGGATTCGGAGCTCGAATAAGACACACTTGTCGCGTGTCTCGGTATCTTCGCGACGCAACGCGCAACGTACTGCCGTCACCGTCGGCGACGTAATCGAGACCACGTCGTAGCGCCGCGTAGACTGCAGTGTTTCGAAGGCAAAGCTAACCTAGCCGCTCGCAAAGTGTAACGAGGATTCTACTCGCTTCCGGCGCGGAGTAGAGCGAAGAAGCCGTTTTCCTCCCGCCGCGCCGTCAACGCTCGGAGCGTTGCGTTAACTATACACAGGCGGTGGTATAGCCACGCGACGGCGACGATTCACGCGTGCCACGCGCAAAGAGAAAGAGAAAGAGAGAGGAGGGGAGACGCGACAACGGACGTCCGAGAGAAAGAGTGCGGGCGTATGACGGAAAAAGAGAGAGAAAGCCAGGCTTACGCTGAAAATAATCCGTCGCACCTCCTGCGCGACGTCCTCGCCTCCTAGTGGTGGTGGTGATGGTAGTGGTGGTCTGTTTCCTTACGGAGGCATCGTCCGCGGGCTACGGACGCCGGTCGCGAATTGGAACCTAAAGCCGCGACGGAGGAAGATCCCGAAGATTCGGTCACCGGCGACCGTCGGTCCGAACGGAAAAACAAGCGAAAATCGATGTTTCCCACCAGAGGAACGGCGCACGAAGGATTGAGGAACGGGAATGGAACGGGTGGGCTTCGCACGGCGACGACGCGACTTTTACACTATCCGCTCGGCCCGGCGAGCGCGCGTCCGCTCAGCACGGGAATAACGATCAGACACGCGCGCGACGATCGCATCGAATTCACCGTTGTCGGTTTGTCGGTTATACCACCCGTCGACCCCGTCTACTCGCGAACGCGGAGCGCGCGCGCGCCCCGCATTATATCGCCTTTATCGCGCCACGATTTTCGCGTCACGAATGCCCGACCCGGTTCACGACGGACAACGACGCGCCTAGCAGACGACATTTTGCCAGTGCGCGCGCGAACTCGCCCGAAGCGCGCCGGAAATGGCCGAACGGCTGACCAGGACGGCTGCGAACGTACCGCGAATATTCAATTCGAATTCATCCGCCGCTCGGACGTTCCATCGATATTTCAGAGCTCTTGGACGGTCCACCATTCGCGCCAGACTTCAAGAGGCTTATACTTGCGACTCTCCACGCCGTGTATTTTAATGCGCGCTATATTTTAATTTTATATTATGTTGTATTTATTTCGATTTTGTTTTACTGTGTTAGCTTATAAAACATGTATTTTATATTTTTTGTTATTTTAATTCTTTAAATATTCTTTACATTATGTAGTGTGGCCTCCTTTGCGCTTTTATCAATGTAAATTGGTTTTAATCTTGATTCAATCCGCTCTTCATCTTTTTCTGGTTCTAAGAATTAGAAAAAGATAAAGAGTAAGTTGAATTGAGATTAAAATAATCTACATTGATAGGAAAAAGTATCAATATTATTTTGTACAATATTATGGATACTTTCTGTAAATAATTCAAAACAGTCTGCAGATTTTTAATATAGCCTCCAATCGATCAATAACCCAAGTAGTACACAAAAGTCATGAGGACATCATCATGACCTCATTCGTCACTTATAAGTCAGTTTTATCAAATGACGTCATGATAATATTCTGTGATATTATTATATGACTTAATTATGACTCCGTGTTCTACCTAGGAATATTGTACAATAATAATCGTTTAGGAGTCGTTTAAAAATTAGAAAAGATTGAAGAGTAAATTGAACCAAAATCAAAGTTAAATCTGAATCTTTTTTGGCATAAGAGAAATTTCTCTCTCAAATTTTTCCGAAATCAATTTCCGAAAGAATTTTCCGTATTCTTTTTAACTCTCTCTAGAACAGTAAAAACTTAAGCTGAAAAAAGAATTCAGATTGCAGACGGAGAAAGTAAAAATATGTGTAGATGAAGAGTTAATCTGCATTGGAAATAGTGGAAATGAGCGTAAGTATAAGAATAACAAGGAATAAACTGGATGTGAATCGCTATTTAAACATACTTGCAATAAATTTATTTTAAGCGACACGAGTTTCTTATCTCGTTTTCAATGTCAAAAACTCGTCCTGGCGCCTCACTTCCTTTCACGCTCGTGAAAACACTCGATATCCTGAATGGATATTCGCTTCAAGTTCATCGATCACGCATCTCACAAGGAACTAGTCAAATTAATATGCGAGCCGCGCGTAACCGACGACGCAAAATAACCGGCGACGGTTAACTACAACTAGACGTTCGCATTTTTACGCGACCTCTCATTCGTGCTCGTGACGTCACGAATTACACGCCGTAGCGTCAAAGCAGATTCCTAGTCGAAGAATGCGACGAGATTCTTCAAGCCACGGGATAAGATAGATACTTTTTATTAGCAAAACCATTCTTTCTACAATAAACAATAAAAAAACATTTTCTAAATCTAAGTAATATTTTCTTGAATTACAAAGTACTAAATAAATATTTCTTTATTGCAAATAAATATTTACTAAACGTAAACATTATTATTTGATTTAAGTATTTACTTTCCTTTTTTGAATAAATATTTATTTGCAGTAAAAAAATGTAGTACTGATGTTTAAGAAAATATTATTTAGATTTCAGAAATCTTTTTTCAGTGTGTGTATCTTTCCTAAATATATTACGATTTATACGACTCTCGACGCGCAAAACTTCGCATCGCAATCAAAATGGCAGTTTCAAGTATCTAACTATTGCTATATAGAAATTACGACGCTACGCAAAAGCGTAATAGTTAATAATAGAAAATACGTCACGTATGTACGTATCTGAATGAGCGGCAATTGAATTTATGACGTGTCTTAACGAGAAAAGGTGCGAGATGAAAGACGAAGATTTCAATGAACTCCAAATGAAAAATTTCCGCGGAAACAGGCCGATCTCAGTAAAAGTGTCACTATTTTTTACCTCAGTACTTAAGAAGAGCAACACAATGATCTTCGTTGCATATTATAAACAACGTCACCGAATATTTCGACCGACCGAGGCTTCGTGAGATCTTTACATGCATAAGATGAAATTCGGATGTTGAACAGCCCCAAAAGATACGAATGAACTACGACACATTCTATTACTGATCGCAACTCGAAATTTCTCGAACGGCGATATTGCGATTCTCGAAATGGCGAGTCGTAGCGGGTAATTAGACTCGCGCGTTTTTGTATATACTTTGCGCACGTAACATGAATCACACACACTTTTTTAAAAAAAGAAGAAATAAAGAATGTTAAAACGAAGACGCAATAGAATCATCATTTGATTCAAAAATCAAATTCGAAATATTTCAGCAAATATTGAAAACGATATGAATTATTTCAAAGAATACGTCTAGCATCCAAGCTAAACAGGTCACGCTAATAATGTCAAAATAACGTTAAAATGAATCGTAATTGATCGAGCAGTGACTTTTAATCATCATTTTGATAAAAATGATAACTGCGAGATTACCGAATAATCTTTTCGATGTCGAGATTTGATACTAAAAGGAAACAAATACCTCGACTACAAGCGTTCTAATATTTTCTCGATATACCGTCATATTATCACAATATCGTAAAAGCCAATGTCTATAGATTATCTGCATCCGGAAAACGTCCGGCAATTAGCAAAGGCTGTTTAGAGTGCAAGGTGTGATACAGCGCAAGGTGTGATACGAGCGATTACGAGAGCACTTATGCGCCTTGCATGTTAATATTAATGGAACGTGAGATCACTCCTATCTATGCAAGTGGGGACGTCAATTTTTCATGTCGGCGGCACTGTGGTTCCCCTGTATTAACTCCACTGTCACCAACGGCAACCTTCAAAACCTTCTGCCAGTTGATGTCACCACTAAATAAAGCCAGTGATTCTATCGATAAATCTACCGTTTCCTCTAAGCATTGAAACGAGCGTACGCGTGTTTAGGTATATTCGGCACGAGGAACGTATGTGTCATTATCATGTGGAATACATTATCTCAATGATCGGTCAGTCGGAGCGACATTTTTAAATCAGTGATGTAACGGCAAATCGACTCAATGTCTTCCTACACGTCAATTTCGATCGAAAATGCAATAAGAAAACTATATAATTATATAATTGTATATGTAATAATTACAAAGATTGTGTTCGATATTATGCTACACATATATTGTACAATGATTAGTTTCCGTTTATAGACGACTAAAGCGATCTCTAGACGCTCAATGTTTTATCGTCTAATTATTTTGTACAATATTATTGATGCCCCTTTTAAACAATTCAACTAGAGGCTTAATATAATATAATACTTAGATAAATTAATAATATTGTACAATAATATGAATCGTCTAGAAGACGCTTAAGATAATCGGTTAGGCCGTAAGTGTTACATTGCTACATAGAAAAAAATGATGTTGTAACATTAGCCAGTCTAATTGAAAATAATCTTGTTTATGCAATAACAGTGAAACAAATAACATTTTATTTAAAAAAAAGAGCATTACGTATTTGTTTCATTAATACTGTCATTGAATTAACAAGATAATTTCCAAAATTAAAGTGCTGTCGGTTAATGTTGTTAATCCAACATCATTTTTTCGTATAGTGATACTTTTCTTTTATTGTATCCTTCATATATATTAGAGACGGAATTAGATTTATTTTACATCATGAATACGTCCATCGTAGGTACTTTCTAAGCTTAACTAAACGTGCTGTATCTTCGCGCTTTTCAGTCCTCCTTTAACTTTCTTATTATCCTCAGCGGTGACTTTCCAAACAAGTTCCAAGTTCTCGCGGGTCGAGCTAATCTCTTTCTGCAATCGTCCGATCGTTTCCTCTTTTTGCTTCAACAGATGCTTGAAGCGTTGCAGTTCTCGGTGATACTCGTCCTTCATTCGATGCACACCGAGCTGTTGCACTTTCATATTTTTTTCTGCCAGTGCAATTTGTTGCTTGGCACCTTCGTGTACAATCTGATAATATTTGATCGTATTAAAAAATTTATAAAAATTATATCGTTCCGTTACTTCAAAGTGATACAACTAAAAAAATTAATTTCTCAGAAAACTGTTTTCAACTTGATAGAATTACTGACTAATCAAATAATATCAGCAAAGATAGTATATTCTAATGCTTTCGGTTCACAATCCTTAAAAAATACCTTTTTTGAAATTTTGATATTTTAATAACTTTTTTAAACTACTCTTTTTATGACATTTTGACGATTTTTTTTATGAAGTTAAGTTAAAGTTCACTTTTGATAAATGATAGGGTAATGTTTATACCTACCTAATTCAGTCACGATAACAATTCGAAAATAATGACTTTTTAGTTGTGTCATTTTTTTAAGTAAGGGAGCGATATATGTACATCTTTCTTTTGTTTCATACCTTTAATTGATCTTTTAAGTGACCTACTCGTTGAGTAATAGTATCGCCGAGCAAATGAATACTTGCATTTTCATTTTCTGTTTCATGTAAAAGTTTTACTAACTTATCCCGTTCGGCGGCTATTCTTTCATATTCACTAAATAACTCTTCGCAATATAATGTAGTCTTTCTTAACTGTTTTTTGAAGGAATCTCGGGATATTTGCATAGAATGCGCAATTTTTTGAAAATGTTCCAATTTATGCTGTATACGTCTAAAAAGAGAAAAAACAAAAAAATAAATAGTTTAAATGTATTATATTTATTTTATTATTTGTAATTTATACTCATTAATACTTACTTAAGATGTTTTTCAAAACTTTTATTCAATCCTTTCAATTGATTTTTTTCAATCGTAATTATATCCAGTTGACTTTTATTTTGTCCGTGGGATTCTTCCAATTCCTTAATGCGAGTGGATAGTTTTTCTTTCTCAGTTTCATACTGACGCTTCAATTTATCAAACAATTCTCTGCATTCTTCAACAGCAGCATTATGAACGTGAATAGGCATTGTTTTTGTATTATCGTTTTGCAACTTTTCATATTCCTTGTGAAGAATATCATATTTTCCTTGAAGATTACTTAATTCAGTCTTAGAAGCGAGACATTCCTCGTGAAGTCTGTTATTGTCAAATGTCATTGCCCCCACTTTCTGTTCGTACAATGAATGGATCTCGTGTATTTTCTGCTTTTGGTGAGTCGTCTGTTTCGTGTAACACTCATTCAATTCCTTGAGCAAGTCAGCATCCTCGGATATCATCTTAATTTCATCTGTGTACCTAGTACACTGGAAAACTTTTATTAAAATAATTTGTAAAATACAGGATTATGTTCTTTTATAAATATAATACCTGTGATTTCAATTTCTCCATTTCGTTCTGCATACATTCATTCTCCATAATAACTTCTTTGCATCTGGTACTAAAATTCGCGATGTCTTCTTCGTATCTATTTACAAGCTCCTGTTTCTCCGACAGGCTTTCTTGATAAGCGTCTAAAAGTGGACCTAGCACATGCGTATTCACCGAACCCCAAGATTCCGACACTGTTTTAATATCATCTGCTGATCTTTTAGAATCTAATATATCGTTAACATTTTTAGGTAAAGCATTTTGTCCAGATTCCTTTAATTTATCTTGATATCTTTCAAGCTCTGCGTTCAATCGATATATCACATGCTTAAGAAGCAGAACATCTTCATTTAACTGAACATTTTCAGTCTTATATCTTTGATTAAATGCTAGAAGATTGGAATTAGTTTTCTCTACTTTTTGTAAAACTTCTGTAAATTTCTTGTGATGCATTTGCAACTGATTGTATTCTGTTTCACGTTCTGCCAAAAGAGCACTTACTTTTTCATACTCTTGTTGTAAATTGTCGTGATTTTTCAATAATTTCTGATACTTATTGTGAATTTTTGATATTAAGGAATCCTTTTCTTTTAATTCTGTGATAGTTTCTGAAATTTTATAAAATATTTTCTTGATTGCTCGTTACAAACGAATATTATTTATATCATAAAGAATAGTTTGATAAGCCAGCAATTTCTTTTTTACTAAAATTCGACTTATTTTTCAACATAGTCTCTTTTTAAAAAGTCGTTAACTTATCAAACTGTCCTTGTATATTATTAGCAAGTATTTACCAGGGCTTATATTAGAATTTTCTAATTTCATCGTTAATATCCGATTTTCTTCAGCTAATCTGTCAAGTTTTTTTTGAATATGCTTGCTACCTTTTTTAGGCACTATAACACCATTGCTGTTTCCATTTTTATCTGTCAATTCTTCAAATTCTCCCTTCACTCTTGAATGGCGTCTAGTCCTATGAAACCGTCTGTAACGCAGTGGTTTATGCACTGGTTCCAATTCATTTTCTGTGATTGAAACTTTACGGCTACTGCGCTACGATTACGATAATATCAAATGTTAGAAGATGTCACTATAATTTTATTTAAATGAAAAACTATTTTATTTAAATGAAGAGAGCTTTGTTCAAAAATCTTAAGCACTTAGTTTTTTATTTATCTGAAATTCTGTATTGTTACCTATTGATTATACATAAATTTAAAAAATGCTTGAAACAAAGAATAATTTACAGCAAATGCCGTAAATCAATTTTCGAGCTAAAACTTTAAATAATGGTTAATAAGATGCTTAATATTTTTATTCAAGGCTGTAGATAAATAGCTAAAGCTATTAACGTTCTAGAGCTAGTCTTCCAAAAGTATATAAAGAAAATAAAATAAAAAGCAGCAATATATGCAAAGGAAATAAAAAAATAATGTTTGAAGAAAATAAAAAGCAGCATTACAAAATGTGATAAAAATAAATAATATACAAATAAACTAATAAATAATAAGGAAGCGAGGTAGTATTTCAGACATTTGTATGCACAATATACCTTTTCTCTATGCCTGTCAACACTGTTGTCGCGATTTGGCATTGCCTGCGATTGCTCCAAAAGCATGCACGTAGCAGATAGCAATAGAAAATCTTAGAAAGCCATCTGTTCATGCGAATATGACGTTACCGGCGCAAACACGTGATGTTTCGAATCGCATCGACTCGAAACAGGCTCTTTTAGGAAGCTCCTGGTTTGTTTGTGTTTTGATCACAGCCATGACTTTGACCACCATGGCAACCAGCACGGCTGGCCATCCCGAAGTTTTTCATAGGTCTGCCGAAATCGCCCGTACACTACCGCCAATACATCCATTTTCAGTTTGGGAACTACGTGACTATGTACATTTTCTGACACTATCGATAAAATTGTATCGTTGAAAATAGATGTGGTTTGTCTCTATACTATAAAATTATTAAATTTTAATAAACGAAATTAAAAAACAAATTAATTTAGTGTGAATTTTGTCTTATAATATCTTATAAAATTACGAAGTTATGTTTCTTTATGCAAATTTTCAGCCCGTTTTTACCAAACATAATTATTATTAGGTGTTGGAATTAATTCGTTTTTTAATGAAAGAATGTTATTTATTTCACATGAGCATTAAAAAATACATTAATGAAAGTACTTCCCATCACTTGTAAAACGCTACGAATTAATTCCAACACCTAATAGTATGTATCAAAATCTCTATAATTACTAGCAATTATAGAGATTTTTAATAAAGTCAATCTCTTCTAAACATATATTGTGTCAATTTAAGGTCAATTTAGCAAAAACGGGCTATAAAGTCCATCACCACCCCCGCCAATTTTATCGGCGGTCCTCTTTTCTTTGTAAGTATACTCACCCATAAAACAAATGAGCTACTAATGAATTTAGTAGTCCGTTTTTGCAGGTAAGTATATCTTTAATTTATTTGTTTATTTTTATGTCTAATTATTTTATTGTATTTCGCTAATAAAATTGCAATAACTTTTTAATATTATTCTTTATTGTATTATCTAATTTAGATAAAAGAAGAGTTATTAAAAATTACTTTAAAATTTATACAAATTTATTTTTGCTAAGATCTTTTGTAGAGAATATATATATAATTATTTTATCTAAATTTTCAATAACTTTCTTTTTATCTAAATTAGATAAAAAGAAAATTACTTAAAAATTACTTTAATATTTTACAAATTTATATATAGAAATATTTTATAGAATTATTTTATAGAATCATTTTATATAATTATTTTATAGAATATATAATTATTTAATTCATTTTATTTAACAATGATTTAATAATGTTGATAAAGTATTCTATATATATATGTTCTTTATACATATAAAGGTACATGCAAATTTTCTTGATATCGTGAAACAATTTATGCTAAATGTGCGGCTAATCATTATTTAATTTTTCAGTTAATAAATTAATTTATTAAGACATTATTACTCCCAATTATTCTGTGTTTCAAAAATTCTTTAAACTTACGTATGATACATATGAATTATTTAAAATAAAAAATATAAAATAAATTTCAGAAACTTATTTAAAATCGTAGGAGTCGATAAAAAACTGATACGATATGTTTAAAATAAAAAATATAAAATAGGTTCCGAAAACTTATTTAAAATATTAAATAAGTTGGAAGTGTTATTATTTAAAACAATGAATACTAAATAATTCTTTTATTTTAGAATAAAATGTGAATGACAATAATATTCACGATAATATATCAAATACGATTTTATTGATAATGTCAGAAAATGTACGTAATTACATAGTTCCCAAACTGAAAATGGATGGCGGATGTGTACGGGCGATTTCGATGGCAAAAGGTCGGCATGGCCTCCCTCGTTTTTTTCTGCTGGTGATAAAATCGATAACGAGATTTATATCTCGAAAAAAAAATAATTTTAATTTAAAAATAGAGTTAAACAATTTAATTCAAGAAAATGTATTAAGTTTGATTCAAATTTAATTTATTAATATTTACTAAGTGTATACGTTAATATGGACAATGTTTACCTTAAACTAACCACAAGAATGGATTAATTTACATTTTAGAGCAGATGAAATTTAAACAAAATGTTATTTAATTCAATGGATTGGATTGCCATTGCTCCTTTGATATTTAACAGTGCATAGTGCTTTCTGGCTCACAGTTAGATGGCAACTGATGGCAAATTAACATTTATTGGCAACAGACCGTCAGTTAGTCAAGCGTCAAGCTAACACGAACAATTGTAGCGCGAATCAATGAAAGCTCGCGACACCATGTACGCGCGTATGCATATTTCATTCAAGTTCATTCAACGTGGGGCTTGCTGAAAGCCTGCCGTAGACCGGGGACAAGAAGAGGGAATTGCCATTTATAATAAAATTGCTTCAACTACATACCTACACATATGTTCAATTTATTCTTGTACAAACTTACAGCCACGCGATCGCAGAAGCGATACTCACTCGCGGATTTCGTAACTTTGCAAAACTATGCGCAATCTTTACAGAAATTTAATACTGAATTTAATACTGGTGCATTAATTATTAATTTTTAATATTAAAAACGTTAAATAATAGCGTTTTTAAATGTCATTTTTAATATTAAAAAAATTGGACTTCTATAAGGGATTATACAGACAATTGAATTATTTGATTATAATATTTAAAAATTATATCATGTGTAATAATAATAATAATTACGATAATCGAGCGAGAACTGCTCCATTTCTCTTAAAATACGGAAGGTATTCCTTCGAAGAAAAAAATTTTTCTTAGAATTTTTTAGAATTTTCCAGAATTTCTATATAATTTTATAACTTTTAAAAAAATTTTACAAATTTTTTTATATAAATTGAAACACTTTTCAAAGTTCTGAAAAAAATCCTTTCTAGAATTCTTTACATAATTCTTTATATAAAGAAGTAAATTCTGAAATATTCTGAATATTCTGAAATGTTCTAAGACTTTTTATTCTATAATTTCTGAAGAAAATTTGTAAACTCTAAAAAGTTTAAGGTACTTGTTTTTAGAAATTTTCATAGATTCAAAATATGGCAAATTTTTAAAAATATTATGAGATTTTATTAGAATTTTTTTCATTGGAAATCAGTTATGTGATATATTATTATTTCGTCGAATTCATCTATTTTTATTACTTACAAGATGCACGGAAGTTGTAAATAATATCAATGAGACTAAATCGCTTATTGACTTCGGCAAAAAGCTTAATTCATTCCTGTAACATGTTTCTATACATTTGCTTGCGATATATGATGACAGCTGCAATGCGGTTCTTCATAAATGTCTACCTATTTGTGAATTTATCATATAATGTCACTTTATTATACGACGATTTGATAGCAAATCTGAATTTCAATGTCAAAGAGATATATCTATCTTCGCAAGAGAGAGGATAACAAAATTGGAAGTATGTATGTTTTAGAGGAAAACGTCTTGATTGCGCAATGATGACGACAACTGTGGCGTCGTAATAATTTATTCTTGAAATACTGTTAAGTAACACTTGGCCGCAATTGGCTTTTAATTATTTCTATTTCCGAGATAATTTCAATATGAGTGCTTTTGTCTCATCCCGCTCCAGGCGAGATGAAAAGCGCTAATTAAAGAATATATTATTATATTTAGCACAATAAAATCCTTGTGAATATATAACATCTATACACAAATGGAATGTAAAGATAAATGAAAAAATGTTATTTTCAATTAAATTATACGATGCATTTTTTTCTTTTTTATTGTATATACCTGTAATAATAATGAAAAGTTATAGCGCGTATATTCAGTAACGAACTGTCCTTTTTACAGTTGGTTTTCTCGTGCTGAACCTGTCCTTTTATTTTATAATGTCAAACAGTTTGTTTTATCAAAACTGTAACTATTCTGGATATTTAAAACCTGGTAGCATCTATTATGTGTACAATCCTAATTACCCTAACATTTCTAACGGCCGACAATACTGCAGGTGGTTCGCGGAAAGTAATTCTCGCGTTAGATTAACGTGCGATAATTTCAACATTCCGTGGGTAAGATTTGTGCCTTGTAATAAAATCAAACGTAATTACTAAAAGATATTCATTGCCACAATCAACGATTCATAATTTCACGAAAAGAATAATTTAATTTTCTAAGCTTCGATTAATTAAAGAAATATTAAAATTAATTATTTTTTACTAATTAAAATTACAAATTTTTACGACAATATTTCTTCAGAATATTTTTTCCGCAGAATTTTAGATGCACCTTGGATAGATTAACTGTATATGTGAATGATTCTGCATCTCAATCTTATTGCGGCAATGAACCATTTAGTATAGAATCAACAGGAAGATTCATGACTATTGAATTATCAACTTCATTTTGGTCATCAGGAGTTAAATTTCTGTGCGAACTGCAAGCAATTAATGAAACAGACGACAATGATTCTTGTAGATGTGGATGGAAAAAGCCGGTATGCATTGAATATAAAATTATAACGTGAAAAAATTTGACGTAAATGTAATAATTTCTATGAATTTTAATTATACGTCATAGACGAAAATAGTGGGAGGTATGGATACTGGCGTGAATGAATATCCTATGATGGCTGGTCTTGTTGATTCTCTTCAAGTGGAGGTATTTTGCGGAGCGACTATCATATCCGAAAGACATGTATTAACTGCCGCCCATTGTTTAGGGAATGCAGATCCAAGTACTGTGGGTGTGCTGGTGGGAGATTACGATCTTACCACGGGTAAACATTTTGTTTAAAAACAAATGTTTCTGAAAGAATATTATATTTGCATTACATTTTTATTGATTTATGTAGGAATCTTCCTTCTGCTCTTTTCATTCTACTGCTTCTCGACAATCTTGTCTCACTTTGACAGTGTTGATATCTATTCACATGTATTCTTTTAGTAATACTGCTCGCCATTTATAGCTAGTATTTTATCATTGATATTTTCTTTTTTTGTGTAACTTTGTTGATTATAACACAATAATAATAATAATTATTATTATTATTATTACTTTAACATTTAAGCGAAGTACAAATTAAATATTAATAAAGCAATTAAACTATAAAATATAAAAATAAACATATGCAAGTCTTATTTATAAAATATTCTGAATAATCTTTGTCCGATTGTTAAAACATATTAGATAATTCACGTATTAGATAAAAAATATCTTAAGTACTTCTGCTTTAATTATAATAACTGAATTTTTTTTAATATTCCAGGTGCAGATACAAATGCCTCGCGTCTCTACACTGTATCCAGATTTTACGTGCATCCTTTATATAATACTGAAGCCCCTGCACAAAATGACATAGCTGTAGTAATGGTGAATTCTGTTATAAGTTTCAGCGAAGAAGTCGGACCAGCTTGTCTTCCCTTTGAGCATCAATTTGATTCCTTTGCAGGAAGTTATGTGGATTTATTGGGTGAGACAATATTATCATAGCAGCAATTGTTATCTAAATAATTTAACGCCTGTTTTCAAACACTATATAAGTTTCAATTATTTCGTGTAGGTTGCGCAAACAAGTTTTGATCCGTTTATTTTGATCGAAACAGGTTGGGGATTGACAGAATTCTCAGGAATGAAGTCGAATACTTTGCAAAAAGTTACAATAACCGTGATCACGAACAGGCAGTGTCGTCAACAGTATCCGGGTATTTCAAATAATCATATATGTACTTATGCGGAGGGAAAAGACGCGTGTCAGGTAACATAGAAAATTCTACAGAAGTTACCCAGATAGAATAACAGATCAAAAAGATATAAGATCATCAAAAAGATCATAAGATTAAAATAATATTAAAACAAATCGCTCAAAAAATAACTTTTAATTCAGATAGCAGACGAAATATTTTACGAATATTTTTATACAAATATTCTTAATTTCGGAATATTTAAATCAAATGTTCTGTAAATATACGTATAATATTCTATTCGTAAATATTCATATTCATTTCAAAACGAACATTTGTGAAATGTTCCATAGAATATTTGTAATATTGTAAAATATTTTATATATATAGAACATTGTACAAAATATTTTCTACTGCTCATAAAACATTTATAACATTGAATGCCATTCAATTTACTACGAACGTACAATGTATGAATATTTGACAGTGTTTTTAGTACATTCATGGAATATATAAATGTTTTTAATAAATATTTATAAAATATTGACTGTTGTGTACTCTCTGGAAATAATCATTTTGAAGGCATTTTAATGTCATCATTACTTTTTGTTTTGCTCGCAAAAAAAAATGCCATTTCATATTCATGTCTACAATTTTTTTTTTCAGTTTGACAGCGGCGGTCCCGTTCTTTGGCAGAATCCTGCAACGAAACGGGAGGTTCTCGTGGGTGTTATCACTGCCGGAATGGGTTGCGGCAGTAAAGCAGGAATTAACATGCGTGTCGGCGCATACATAGATTGGATCTTGAGTGTAACACCGAGTAAGTGCATGAAGTGTACAATGCGTCATATATGCGTTATCGTCTCATTGAGAGGGCATTTATCCTATGATACTTATTTATATCTTCTTACAGGTATCAATTACTGCATGTCCGAATAGAAGAAGAGTGTAAACAAAAAATGTATAAAAAGGTATAATTTATTTATTAGGTGTTGGAATTAATTCGTAGCGTTTTACAAGTGATGGGAAGTACTTTCATTAATGTATTTTTTAATGCTCATGTGAAATAAATAACATTCTTTCATTAAAAAACGCTACGAATTAATTCCAACACCTAATACAATTTGTTATTTTATATAGATGTTATTCCGACTTATTGCACACTATTTATATGCAATATGTTTTTATAGATTGTTATGTTTTTTTATATAATTATCTCTTTTTCACGTAATTTCACGCCATATTAATTTACGCCAGTTAATATAATGCTTTCGGCATATAATATTCGACAGAACATTAATCTATAGACTCAATGTATATTTATTTTTAAATGTTGTACGTCAGAATACATTCATTTGCATTGAGATCAAAATGCTACAATCAATATCAATCTAAATTGCATGGTTAATAACAGACAACAGATGTGTCAAAGAGTTTCAAGTAAATATTTATAATAATATATTTTGACGTGTAATTTATACACACCAATACGTACACTGTGTTCTAAAATAATAAAATTTGTTTACTCAATGGAAAGAATTGCGGAACATAAATTATGTACGGCGATTCATATACATCTCATTATTTCACCCGAGATATATTTATACACGCTTATCAGAACTTTGATTGTCCTTAATAAAGATTTCCATGGTAATAGAAGGATTAACATTAACGGCTCGTAAACAATGTCTCATTATTAATAAATTCCTGAATGAGGATGTGACGTGAGAGCGTCTATGGGAGGGAATGGTCTATGGTAAGCGACCACTTACACTGACCAATGTAGTATCACATTAGCTTACTTGCCATGGCGTAGTACGTACTGAAGATTTATATCACGCTCTCTTACTGTGAGAGGTATAGAAATAAAATATGCGACACCAATAAAAATATATATAAATAAAAATATTCTGATAAGACTGCAAGAAACGATCGACTCTCGATTTTTTGCTGTAGAAATTGATTCGTGCAAAGTGCTATCGTTTAATTTTGCTTACTTATATTAAGACGAATAATATTAAAATCAAGATAAATAATTATATTAAAATGAATTTAATTTTTATATCTTTCTGATACTATTGTATAATGTTATATTAAAGCAAATCTTTTACGAATGCGTATCAATCAATATTAGTAATAGTTTCGTGATCGCAGCATACATTTATTAAATAAATTGATTTCTTTGATATATATCGCGGTACATCCTTGACATAGTTGTTGACCTAATGATAGTATACAAATAGATATATTCTTCTCATTGTGATGGAACTCTGATATAATAAAAATTGTTTGCGAGAAAATATGTTTTTCTTACGGAGAAAGAATTAAATACTTATTGACAAAATCAATTTTATTATAGAATAGAAAAGTAGACAGTCTGTAATAGTTGATCTCATTTTATGTATATTGTTAAATAATCAAGAATTAAATTTGAACTAATTCCTTAACTTAAACAACATTTTATTATTTTTAACTTTCAAATGTGTCAAAATGTAGTGTTACTTCAATATAAAACAGTATAGTTAAAAAAAAAACAATCAATTCAATTTATTACATCAATTCAATTTATTTCAATTGATCTAATTGCTTAGTTTCAAAACATAAACAGCATTTAGATTAACGTGAACTTGGTAAATAATAAACTAATTTTGAGTCAAATTAATATATTTCTTGAATTTTAAATTGTTTTATTTAAATTAACGATATATTAAAGCAGTAACAACTAGCTATAAGAATAATTCAAATTGGGTACTTAAAATTTGATATTATGAATTTAACAACGACATTATCAATTTGCAATTTGATGAATCGAAAACGTTTTCAACATTTTTGCTTCATTATTTTTTCTAAAAAATTTAAAATACAACTAAGATACAATTTTCAATGTCAAGTATTAAATATTTCGTCGTGAGAATTTCATGAAATAGGTTCGATACCGGTTTGGGGTTCGCGTAATCCGGGTTTATTTCCAAGGGATGCAGTACTATTCAGAATAGTACAAAAATGCTTTGGACCGTAGAAAGAAGTTGAATGACCATTGTGAGGATAAGCTTGTATAACCACTTTAGTATGCGATGTTAGATGGATGGTAAAGGTAGGAGCGTATAGATACCTATGTCCTTATCTTGCATGCGAAAGATGTGCACAGTAAAATACGAGATCAGCGATCTATTCACCGTGAGCTCTTCACTTCTGACACGTATTATAATTCCTGTGATGGTAAAAAGAAATAAAAGCTGGACTCTTGTAAACAGGAAGAAAGGTCGCACGTATCCTGTGCGTCACTCGGTACGAACATCACCGTCATTCGATCGTCCACCACATTCAGCATGGTGCATTGAACAGCAAGGACATTACTCATTACGTGCACGCGTCATTATATTGTATAACGTTGTTGTCCAAATAGTCTTTATTTCTATCGGCAATTCGAATTATTTGCAGCAATAGCGAACGTTGTTAAAGTCTGTACATGACATAAATTATTAACATAAAAATACAGACTACTATTAGAAAGAATTGTAATGTATGCTATGTGCGTAATACATAACGTCATTAAAATAAATTTTATAAAAGCATTTTATGAAGCTACAAATGAAGATTATATCTCATTATTTTATTTATTTCAAAAGAATTTAACATCCTCTTTAATCTTATTAAAACATGTTTTTAAAAGCGTAATTTCTCCATGTATATATATTACAATATAATGTAATGTATTGTAATACTGTATATAATATACACATAATCTGACGAGACTCGTATAATTCAATATATTTCTTCGTTAATACTTTGGCTGTCCGAATTGATTTGTAGACGGACAATTGCTTTCAAGGTTTACATGATATTATGCAAGCACCACTCGCGACATTGGCGTGCCATAATCAGTGCAGGTGTATCGGCGAAAAGAAAGATAGGTGATATCTCGGATTTCTAAACGACTCTATGTTAAATGCTCAAAAAGCGCATAACTTAAGCACATTTTCTAGAATACTTTTTCAAATATTTTACGTTTCTACTAAAAGTTTCAATAATTTATATGCCAAGATCAAAGCTTTATTTAGCGCAGAATCAAAGCAGATATATGTTGCGAGGACCGTTACTGTCATCTGACGTAGTTATGAATATACATATACCGATTTTATTAATGTTATTTGATGCAAATCAAGTAAACGGTGATGTATGGAGCAGCCTGATAGTAAAGAACTCGAGAACAAGGTCGAAAGGTTATGCGACCGCTTACGTAACTCGAAGCTACTGACTGACTCGCCTCTATGTATATATCCACATATGTATGTATGTATACAAGCTTGGGCAGGTCTCGTGAAACGTTTTGTCGTCTAGAGATAGTAACTATAGCATCGAATGACGTCACGGAATAATCGCGACCGCCTTTAGTCACCGACGTCATGAGCTCGGCAGGAATCTAAAGAATTTTACCAAGAAGGAATAAAGAGCAAAATATCATTTTGATTACAAATGAAATATATATGAAATACATACAAAAGTACAATAAATAGAAAAAGAAAAAATATACAAAAAGAAAAAAATTTGTTTATTTATTTATTTATTTATTCGGATTTATTTATTTTGTTCCTAATCTAAACAAAGAGAGAACACAAGTCATCAAAATGGTTTCAAAATAATTACTAAAAATCACCTCTCAAAACAGTTACGATTTGTTTTAACATCTTTTTGACGTTATTGTGACTTGATCTGTTTGAATAACCACCTTCGATTTATTTCGAGATATACGTGAATTTCAATTCGCTAAGGATTTGCGCTACGCAATTATCAGAGAGAGAATTGCTTGATTTTATCAAAGAGGAGATGAAGTGTTTGAGGATTAAGATGCTGAATATAGGAGGATCCTTAGTTACGAGAATGCTTTCGATCGAAGCGGAAACGGTGACGCGTGGGAAGCTGCGCGTATCTATACTACCTCTTAGTAGAACAACAATCCGATCGATGAGCCGGTTTGTCAGTTTTGAATTACTCACACCATCATCCAGAAAAGACCGCCAAGTTTAAACGAGCTGTGTCGAAACGCACGTCATTGAAACGTAAATAACGAAGAAAAACATTTTCATTATCTTAGAGTGCTAAAAGATCAATAGGAATATGCACACAAAACTATTTGCAATGCGTTTTAATGATGATTTATGACGCAAATTAGCGTATAGCGGTTTATCTCTAAATTTACATTGGCGCGCGTCATCTTTAAGCAGGCTTCGTTGAGAAAAGCTGGCTAAGATTATCAGGCAAGCTGTTGCAACAATTGATAAGAATTAATCAGGTGCTTAATCTCATTTTCAAAATTTATTTCTCTATTAATTTCAATGCGTAACCTGTGCAAAAAAAGAACGATTTTGCCGAAGTATTCAAAAATTTAGCTAGATACAAATTTGAAATAATTTTATTAGGCAAAATAATTGCATAGAAAATCTCTCAAACATGATAAGCGATGATGTAAAAATTTGACATTCTACCAACTTTGAGTGTTCTACATAAATATTTTAATAAATCTGACAAACTTATTTTCAGATCTATACCTAGCTAAACTTTAGATACTTCAGAAAAACCTTTCCGTGTAGAAGAAAAAAATCTCATTTTAATGTCTTAAATATTTCCACCCCATTTTATGCACCGTTACGTTTTGTGCCCTATAACTATTTTATAATATGATAAAATAATAATTAAATGTATATAATCCGGATTACATCCATATATTATCTGTATTATTAAAATTTTGAATTTTTCGTGAAAGAAAAAAATCACGCTTTGGTGCCTGAAATATTTGCACCCCATTTTATGCAAGCGATTACCTCTTCTACTCTATAATATAATAAGATAACAACGCTCGCGCTACCCGGCTCTTCACCGTTTAAAAGGGATCGGTCGGCCGGCGTATGCGCATACGTACACAATTACCACGGCCAATC